TCCTCTGTATCCATTTGAGCGTTGCCTCTGAAAGGGGAGTTACAATGGACCACACAATGGGAATATGGTAGAAGTACCAAGAGGAAGAGAACAACATTTATGTTTTAATTATGAGGAAAACCAACAACACCACATATTAGTAACAAGAGCAATTGACTTATATTGAGCTGTAACATTGCTCCAGCTAGCTGTAACTCTTCTGGATCTTTCTGCCTTCAAAACCTATGCCATGTCTTTTAATGAGGAGTCTTCTTACACCCGTTATTATCAATAAAATATCTTTTGGTTGATTGTTGTTGTTTGTTGCGAAGTCATTTCTGACCCGTTGTGACCCCATGGACAACGTTCCTCCAGGCCTTCCTGTCCTCTACCATCCTCTGGAGTCCATTTAAGCTCACGCCTACTGCTTTGATAACTCCATCCATCCACCTCATTCTGTGTCATCCCCTTCTTCTTTTGCCCTCAATCTTTCCCAGCATTAGGCTCTTCTCCAGTGAGTCCTTCCTTCTCATTAGGTGGCCAAAGTATTGGAGTTTCATCTTCAGGATCTGACCTTCTAAAGAGCAGTCAGTGTTGATCTCCTCTAGGACTGACCGGTTTGATGGCCTTGCAGTCCAAGGGACTCGCAGAAGTCTTCTCCAGCACCATAGTTCAAAGGCCTCAATTCTTTGGCGCTCAGCCTTTCTTATGGTCCAACCTTCACAGCCATACATTGCAACTGGGAAAACCATAGCCTTGACTATACGCACTTTTTGAGTTTATTATTTTTTGCTTTCTAAGTAATTAATAGGCCAATTGATGTATTACTTTGGGATTGCTACAGCATAGAAAGTCCCTCCTCCCCCCCTAAAATGTAACATTCTTATAGTTTATGCAAGCAGAACAGTGAAGATATGACCATGGTTCTATGCTGTTTTTGATTTTCTTTCTTTTTTTAAAAAAAGAATATAATTGTGTGTTTCAGTCATTGCAAGGTATCCATTTTTTATATCATAGTCTGATTGAATGTGCTGTCTGAGAACTGGGATGACTTAACAACTCAAAGATACATATCACCTCCCTGCATTTCTAATTGATTTTACATTATTTCTTATGCTCCCCTTGTTTAGTATATTCTTTGTTTTCACTATGGAAGAAAAGCTGGACTTGGATATTGATAGACATGATAGAAGCTGAATCTGATGTTAAATTCCCCACTCAAGAGTTCATCTCCAATCTGTCTCTTTGGAAAAGGAAAATCAACATTTCTCATGGCTTTGGGGAAGCTTATGCCAAGCACTATGAGATCATGGCCATCATAGGCTCCACTGATTAAATTTAATCGATTTGCATCAGCCCCAAAGCGTCTACTGTAAAGCCGGCTGGCATTCTGCTTCATATTAACATGTGTTCTGTTTATTTAAATGGGTAACATTTTAAGACAGGGACGTGGTGACTCAGTCGCTAAGATGTTGAGCTTGTTGATCAGAAAGGTCGGCAGCTTGGCAGTTCAAATCCCTAGCAGCAGGTAATGGAGTGAGCTCCCGTTACTTGTCCCAGCTTCTGCCAACCTAGCAGTTTGAAAGCACATAAAAATGCAAGTAGAAAAATAAGAACCACCTTTGGTGGGAAGGTAACAGCATTCCCTGCACCTTCGGCATTTAGTCATGCAGGCTACATGACCACAGAGACATCTTCAGACAGCGCTGGCTCTTCAGCTTTGAAACGGAGATGAGCACTGCCCCCTAGAGTCAGGAACAACTAGCACATATGTTCGAGGGGAACCTTTACCTAAACATTTTAAACCAGCATGGTCTGATCAGCTGATCATTTCATTTCGTAGAGATAAACTTGAAATAAAACAACTCTTCTCTGAAATTTTCCAATATCACGATCAAAGAGGTCATTACCTTTAAAATACAGCATTAAAATCCCAAAGACTTAACAGTCCATACCAAAATGCATGAGGGTTTAATCCAGAGGGGGAAAAACATAATTCATTCCTTAATCCACACAAAAAAACCCTTTTTCTAATTCAAGACTAGACCTTGAGAAAAGATTTTATAATACAATTGGTCCAATATGATAGGGATTCTCCCTCCCTCTAAACTTGATGACGATGAGTGGCAATGTTTTAAAATTTGTTGCTGTGTTAGGATTAATTTAATCAGAGGGAGAAAAAGTTACCTTCCTTCTCTCTGGCTATTATTTCTCTATAACTGTGGGCCAGTTAATTAGATATGTTACATATTATTAATTACCTGGGAGAAAATAAGGAAATAAGTTGAAAATGAAAGATCTGAGCATGGGGGAGAATAGGGAAATTTATTTCCATAGGAATTGGTTGGCAATCGTTTTTATTTCTTGTCAATTTCCAGGATTGACTTGGACCCTATTGATAATTGACAAATAATCAACCCCATGAATAATATGTCTACATCATTGAGCATCTCTTATTCAATACTCAGTTGCGTCTTTGCATGCATGCAAACAGTATACATCTGAACCACGTGGGCTTCTTCTAGCTAGCTCTCCAAATCATCTCTGGATCGTTCAAACAGATTTTAGACCAACCGTTATGTCTTAGCAATTAAAAGAGAAACAGTGTTAGCATNCTGCACCCTAACCACTGCACCACCTCGGCTCTTTAATGGTGGACAGGACCACATGGTTTAGATCCTGGGTGTGGGTGTGGGTGGGAAAGGCACATTGAGTGGAGAAAGGGATAAATTTATACACTCTCTTGGGCCCTGCCTTAGAGTTTCCTGTTCCTGTACAAGAAATGTATCCCATTGGCTGTCAGACTCCCAGGGGGCGAAGGAGCTAACTTAGCTAACTTTGTAGGCTGTCTGGTTGAGCCTTGCTGGGTGATGTAATCTTCCCAGGTGCCATGTGGTGAAATGGGTAGGGGGCTAATCCTATTATGTCCTGAGTGCCATGTCTTAATCCCAAGTGTGGGGAAGGGAGCTGCTTTGTCTTTAAAGACATGTTTCTCCTTTTCTCCAAGGAAATATAATATTCTGCCTTTTTATTATTTCCTACAATATTTCATTGGGTGCTAAATTCCTACAATAGCTTCACTTCCAAAAACCTCAGATTCTCTGGAAGGAGACCTATAATTTCAGCAGGAATCAAAAACCCAACTCCTGTGAAGTCCATCGCTTGCAGAGAGAAAATTACCCTGCAACAAACAGGCTGTGCAACACCCTCCCCAATATTTCTATACTCAGACAACGGAATTAAGCCATTGTCTGACAGGTTAGCTGTACGGAATGCCCAGGTGTTGTTCACAACGCTATTCGTCTGGAAGTTTCTGCTCAGATGACCCATAAAGGTAGCACTGGAACTGTTCTGCTCTACTGCCTAATAGGAATCTGAGTGATAACCAGTAGGAAGGCAATGAAGCATTCATGCATTGAAAATCATCTGGTACACACCCAGATCCTGGGCTTCCCCAGTGGCATGAAAAAGGCATGAAAAAGTGTAACTCCTCCCATTAACTTTCAAAATCATTTTCAACTTAATCATGTTCAATCTACCTAGGAGCAAGCAGCTATGTAAGCTGTACAGTGGATCTGTGGGGTTATCTCTTTTGTTTGAGGGAGGTATGCAGTGGAGTACCCCAAGGCTCTGTTTAAGGCCCAGTACTCTTCAACATCTTCATCAATGATTTGGATGA